TCTCCGACTCAGCGCATGTGTTGTGAATATGAAATTTCGGTAATTCTGGCTGAAAAGAACTCGTTAGCGGTCACTTCTTCAATCTCTCATTGACGATCTCGTTAATGAAGACATTCGCAACGCTCGCGAATGATTTACTCGCGAAGTTTATCGAGAAGAAAAAGAAGAGAGAGAGAGAATTTCGCGCGCGCGCGCGCGCATTTCTGCAACCATCATTTTTATTTGAATATTTCTCTCCGTGGAAGAACTCATAAAATGGCATAATCATTGTCTATTCCTGGATGATGAATTCCTTTACGAACAATTTAATCGTTGATGACGGAAACAAGGCTTTCCTGTAATAGATAACGAACGAAAGATGATTCATGATTTATTCGCGACTGATGAATTATCTAGCTTCTTCTAAGGATTAATCGCGCTAAATAATCTTCTTCGCGTATTACATTATTATTATTATTATTATTATTATTATTACTATTATTATTATATTGTAGCTGATGCTACAAACGCATGGTTCACTCGCGTTCATACGCGTTTGAATCAGTTCATCTATTTTGAGATTTAGATTCAGTTCTGCGCATGCGAATGTCTGAATTTCAGTCAAAACATTGCGTTTGAATGAAAGTTGAAAATAAAAAGATGCTATTAGAGAGAGAAAAAGCCTATTGTGTGTTACGTTACACGGACAAGAACGGTGCGTGAACTATGCTGAAAGAACAAACGAAGGTCGCAGACGTTTCCCCTTGACTTTCTTTGAGAAACAAGAAACGGTGATCGTAGTGACCGAAAGATTGACTCAAAAAAATAAAGTTATTATTATTACGAGCAATGTGCTGTTTGATTAAAATCCCGATATCAAATCTGGAATATTCGATAATTTGTCAAGAAAGTGTTTTAAAATGTAAAACAAGCGCTCCGAACGTGGAAGGAAATTTATCCACGTTCGTTTTGAGTAAGAAAAAAATTTTAGAGAACAATTCTTTCGGACACGAAAATAGTTTTTTGTGTCGATTTAATTGCAATGGTATTTGTTAATCAATCATTATGGCAGAGAGATGTAAGAAGAAATAGAGACGAGAGATAAAAATAGATTGTGAAGGAGAAATTATTATGTATATGTAAGGAATGAAAAGTGAGTCACAAATTAATAATTTGTTCGTAAGAGTCTATCTGTGACGTTACGAATGGAGATTGATTTCTTTCGGATCAGACTAGAAAAACCGGATTGCCGTCATTAGTAATTTGTCCCGCTAAATATATGAGGTAAAAGGTCGGATTTCTCGGCCAGAAAAACATACAGTTTCTTCTTCCGGATTTTTAAGAATTAAATTAATTTATATTTCTCGTATAATTTATAGCTTATTTATAAGATTCTTCTTTGCAAAAGTTTACATTAACTCCTTACAGATTTTATGCTATTCCTCTCTTTTCGTATTATATTGTTCGTTATAGTCGAAGAGGAGGAGGCATCGGAGGAATTTATTACGCTTGACGACGCATCAAAATCAGTTTTAATATCATCGTTTGATAAGAAAATTCTTTCACGATCTCGCACAATCTGCGCTAGCGAGAATTCATCATAAGAAAAAATTAGTCTTTAAAATCAAAACAAATATTCTCATGTATAAGCAAGAATGTTGTAACTACTTAAAAACTATAATCTTGATTCGATTGAATTTCTATTGATGCAAGTACTTTTGCTCAACTCAAGACTAAAAGTCTTTTATATGAATATTTTTGTTTATATATATAAAAATATATATGTTTGTGTCAATACAAATTCAGTCAAAACTAAAATTATTTCTAAGAAGATTATAATATTCTTGCTCATAGGATATATATAATCTTGATTTAGATATATATATATATATATATATATATATATATATATATTACTTAG